GTTGTTTTGCAGTATAGTAACTTTTTATGATAATTTCAAACGTTTGTTTCAAGTTACGTGCAAGGGTGAAACTGACTGACTCATGACCTTTACATATTTTCCGCAACTGGGTTGTTTCATTATCACTTGAAATCACTACACTCAGGAATATGTGTTTGTGATACTCTGATTATTCTTCAACATCATTTAGAATGATTTAATAACATAAAACATCCTCTTATAGCCCTGTCAACAAAATAACCATGGAATATAACCAACAAGGAAAAAATTGTCTTTTCTATGTTCACTTGATATCACATCTATTGATTGGTAGCTGTCTATTTAGATCAAAAAGTGCATTGAATGTCGGCATGTAAAATCATTCCTGATAACTGAAATAGTATCGCACACTGCAATAATTTGTTTTTGCAGGTAGTTTCTTCAAAACAGATTTCAGATGATTAGCAAGAGAAACGAGAGTCATACAAAATGTTGCAAGCTTATAAACCCCCAGAAACGATGTCACGTACTGCGGAACAACTCAAACAGTCAGCAAATTAAACCATAAGGCTCGGTCAAACTCACGTAACAAGTATTGGGCTGTGTTGCACACGTTTGGCCACCCTGTAGTAAGGTGTTGCAACATTTTGGATGGTATTGAATCAGGTTTGAAAATGGTCACATTTTTGTTGCAACATTTTTGGATGTTGCAAGATGTTGCAGGCGTTTGGCCAGCTCCTTCACAACGACGCTGCTAGATGTTGCGTAGAAATGTAGTATTTCGTTGTAATCTCGCAACAATATCTAACAATCGAGCACAATATTGCAAGATATTGCGTTGAAACGGAGCGTGCGCTTGGCCGGGCCTCAATGTCAATAAAAATTTATCGTGTGGTCCATTGCGATAAAACTTTATAATTATGTATTTAGAGTGGACTTACTGAGTTTTGACCTTTACAATCTTTCCGCTCTGGGCTGATTCACTCTCGTTTAGGATCACCTTAGTCATAAAACTGTTTATGCGTACGTGATATACTTGATAAATAACTCCTCACTATCAGTAGCCCATGTAAGAGAAAATGATGAGACTTAGGGACTTGGTGACCTTATTACCAATACGACCATGAAATATCACTAACAGGAAAGAGTTGCCTCTGATATAATGATATCAAATTTACTGAATTGTACCTGTTTATTTACTCCAAACATTAGCATATGACACATATTACACATATTTTGCTTCCGTTTGTTTCATCAAATGAAACATCACAATTTATGAGCGGATCTTAATCCAAATGATCAGATATAAAGAAGGCTTTATTTCTTTCCACACTTGGTTGTATCAATTTCGCTCCAAAGTACTTATTTTTAATCAGAACTGTTAGTGATTTATTTGCGATCACTCCCTAGTGTTGTTTACCGTGAATTAACGATATGAAAACGCGTCCGAAAGCTGGTTCGTCGAGCTGAAACACTAATGCTTATATTGTATTAGAACGCCACCGACTGGCAAAAAAAAGTAAATCTATCTTATTAGAACATTAGACTACAGTTGACTTGTCTCACACTTCAAAAGCAGTTTCTTAACTTTGAAACAAGTGCAGCGTATTCTGACTGAAAAACGAGTATATGAAGTTACAAAGAAATTTCCAGACTCCTCTTATGTCAATCGTGTTGTGATTAAAGTTCACTTCTCTCAAACTTAAAAGCAGTAATTTGAAGTATTGGTAACTTCTCAGACAAGCGTAGTGTATTCTAGCTAAAGAGTTAATGAAAACATACGAAAATTCAAATTATACTGATGTCTTGGTAAAGTAAACTCTAGCAATCACGGTTTTGACTAGAGTTCACCTGTTTCACACTAAACAAAACTCATAGACAGGCGTCAATTCACTGAGCTCCACTATGCATGAATGTTGTATAAAACAAAGTGATGGTTACTCAGGCGGTTCTACATCTTGTGTGAGCATGATTTAAGGGCCGAAGAGATTCCTCTCAGTCTGGTCAAAGTGCAACTGCCAAATGTGATCGTTTGGTTGGGCGTGATTTGCATCTGAATCAAGAATCTTGTATCAAGTAATCAGACCACAAAACTTACCGAAAAAAAAAACAAAAATATTTAGGGAAAATATCTCCGGTAAAGACAATGTCTAAAGTAAAAAACCCCTCCATTTTGGAAGGAGGACAGGCAAAAAAAGCGAAATTTCCAAAGGAAAATGTTCAGTTTTTTTTCGCAGTGATTCCAGCATCACAAAGCTCGATTTATAGAATATGCCGCACGAAGTGAAAGAGATGATTATTGATAGCAGTGGTACATAAAGTTCCCTTCAGCTAGACTGTTTTATGATAAATGCAGTTGAATATGCAATGGAATTTTAAACATTTTTCCCCATTTAAAAACAAGGAAAAAATTGAAATGGTCCACGAAGACGAAGCCACATTTTGATGCTACAAACAAGAGTTTTGAGTTCATTTTTCTCCATTTTCGCCCAGAATCACCTCAGTCATTAAAACTTTTAGTTTGTGTTACATTTTTAATCACTCCGCAGGCTTTTTTACATTCAGTTAAAGTTAGGAAAGCAGACATCTGCGCGATTTTTTGTCTACTTAGGGCATGTTTATATTGCCAGTTACAACTTTTTCTTCAGTTGATTGTATCCAAGTCCCACTCAAAACACACTTATTTTCACTCAAGAGAAACTCACTTAGTAAAAATTCAGACCTTGGTGCACTTGTTTCACACTTAAATGCACTTTGATATCTGTTTAGACAGGTGATGTATATTCACAGTACTGGTAATCTTTCCAATATTCAATTAAAGCATCTCTTGATTAAAGAGTAAATAAGACACTCAAAAACAAACAAATAAACAAAAAAACACTCATGTACACCCAAAAAATCGATCGACTTTAGCTAACAGATTAAATTTGATTTCTTGCATCTTTAAAGCAGTATTGGTTGCTTCTAAATAAAGCGTAGTATATACTAGACAATGAGTAAGTGAAAGTGATAAGATATTTCTAAAAAGTCACGCAGAGTTAATTCTAGCACTCACGGTTCTTATTATTATTGTGTCACACCATTCAAAACACTCTTAGGACAGGTGCCGATTCAGCCCGACCTGCCATATAGTGGTTAATGTAAATAGTAATCTGATGGCTCCTCAGGTGGTGTTTTATCGTAAGTGATCGCAGTATCACGGCTGAAGAGATTCTTGTTCTTTCCAAACCCCAGTTGAAACTGCCAAACGTACAGCTTGGTATTTGGGGGGATTTTTAGCCTAAAAGTTTCGTCTTCTTCAGTGCTGTCACTCCATTTGAACTGCTCAGTGTTGACCTTGTTTCCACCATACTTTTCTTTGAGGCTGATCTGAACTTTACAGAGGGCCTTAATCAATTCTGAGAGTTGGGCTTCGATCCCTACTTCTTCGCTTATTCCCATCTCGATAGACCATTCGAACTCGATGGTGGACATGGTGCTCCTGTCAAATCCAACGGTTTTCTTGATGGTTTTTTCCCATTGAACGGCAATATTGGAGTCGTTTTGCAGACGTTTAATATCTTTCCAGAACCCAAGCACTTTTCCATGGGTGTGCGCTATGCCACCAGGGATAAACTTGAGCACTGACTCGCGAACGCTGAAGCTGGCCTCATCCTTGTTCAAATTCATGTTGGTGCTTTTGTGATAGGTTACACCCCATTTTCCAGCCTGTTTCAAACAGTAGACATAGTCATTGGTACCCCAGAAGTAGATGCCATCTTGGAACGCTTGGTTGATTTTATATTCCACAGGGTCTTCATCTTTGTTCATGTTACTCACTCGTCGGTAGGTGCCTTTGTTGGCAAAAACGATGTAATATTTACCAAAGGCAGAGTAGTAGCCGCTTCCTCCGCGACAGTTGCGATGGAGAGAGTAAACCACAGCGTCGTCGTCGCTACTCAGGTCAGTGACTCTGCGATACTCATTTCCTTTGATGATGTAGAAGTAGGAATCAGTGGCCAAGTAGTAATCACCCCATCGACAGGCCTCACTTAGACGGTGAATCTTGATATCTTTTCCAGCGTGGATATCTTCGCACTTCATATAGACACCCACATCAGAACGGATAATGTAGAGGCTGTGTTCAGTACCACAAAAATCTATTCCCCTAGCCTCAGGTGCACTCTTCGGCACGATCTCCGGATAATCTGACGTGGCAGACATACCTTTCACTCAGTGTTTGCAGCTGAAATACTCTTTCTTCTAGAGTATCTGCGAATAAAGCAAACCAAAGCGAAAAGAGCAGCTTTTATGGCCACAGAATTTGATTATGGCTTGATCTTTAGTGGAAGGAGGGGCTATGAAACAAAACGTTTTCAAAACTGGGGCTTTCATTGTCTTTATTATTTTGCTCGAAGGGAAGTCATTGCGGTTAGAATTACATCCTCAAACCACCAACGCACATTTACAAATGTGACTTTTTTTCATTGTTCGATTGTTGACCAAATTTTCCTTTTTCTTTTCTGGACGTTTCCGAGAAGGAAATTCGCAGCGTTTCTATGCTTTGAAGGTAGTCTAACCGGGTAGACTTCTTGGACTGTGAAAGTTTTGGAAGATTCCATAAAATTGAGACTTGTGCTACATAAGAATGTGCCACTGAATTGAATGCGAAATTTGTCTCTCTGTAATGTAAATGAAATAGTTTATCTGTGAAAGAAACACATTCGTACAACAGAGGGAAACAATGTTATCCTACATAACTTCTTCCTGAAACAGTAACTCAGGAACTGAGCTTCACAGCAGGTTCTTATACCTCTGACCTTTAATAGGTTTTTATTTCATATTTGCGGAATCGGTCTTAAGTAAGTATTTTGCATCGCGACAAGTGGGCCATTTGGCAACAGGAAGCTAAATTTCTAGAAGAAATGTTTTGGTTTTCGGAATGACTAGAGCGGAACGCAATTTGGGTCTTAGAATATGCTTTCCGAAAGAGAGGGATGATTATTCCG